GATCAAATGGGCCAACAATGGCCAGCTTTTATTGTTTGGACCTGTAGGTTAATATTGTCAGGGTTCTGCCCTCTGTTTAGGTTTATTTTTAGTCTCTTTGTAATTCCGTGTCTTTGTAGTTGTTTTCTGGCAGTGTTGTGTTTTCTGGTTACTCTCTGTTTCCCCCTTGTGCCGGTTTCCTTTCTCCTTGGCACCCTTCTAGTTACTTCTTTCCACATCTGCTCCATATCAGCTCATTATTCCATTCTTTCCTCTGTTCCCCATATATACACCACCTCTGCAGTTCCTCATTGCTGGTTTCTTGTTTTTTTGTTGCTTTGTTGTTACTTGGCTCCCTGTGTGTGTTTCTCCCTGGCATCTTCTGATTTTTTGTCTTTCAGTATTTTTTATTCTTGCTCCTTTTTGCCTTTTGATCTTTCATTAAATTAGCAAAACTCATCTCTGCATTTGGGTCCTCAAACAACTTCCACCAAACCTTGACAAATATGGATAATTTTCTATCTATTTCTCTTGGCTTACTGTAATAAAGACATGGACTGGTTGATTTTAAAAGGACATTATCTTTGTTTGGAGAGATTGTCTGGAAGTTGTGATTACTAAAAAACGTTTGTTATATGTCTCTTCAACTTTTCCTACATTGATTTTCACATGGTTTTGAGCGCTACCCTGCTGGAGGACCAACAGAACACCCAATTTCAGACTTTTGGAAAAATACATAAAATTTCTATCTTGAATTTCTTTATTTTATGACACTGTGTACTCTTAACTATGTTCCTAAGACTTTCCACATGTCCTTATTTTATATTCTCTTAGAGTTTAATGACTAAAGCGTAACTTATCAAATCAAACTATTTGCTTCCAGGGACAGTCCCAGTAGAGTTTAACAATATCATTGAACTTATATTTGTAATGCTGTACACAAAAACCTAGTTGGCTTATAGATAAGGTAGTCACAGTGATCCCAAAATGGCAGTCATTGCTGCAGTCCTACTGATCTGCGGACTGTGTGTATTGGTACAAATAAACATGAGTACTTGACATAACCACACTGACAAGAATTGTCTGATTAAAATCAGAATTTAATGCAAGGCTGACTATAAGGCTGAGCAATACGGCTTAAAAACCTAATCTGTGATTTCTTTTTACTACCAAATCTGAGTTCATGTTTAAGAACAAAGAGTGTTGAACGGATTCCACTAAGAGCTATGGAAGCTGAAAGAATTGCATAGGTGGAAAAGAATCTAGATTTTCCAAAAATCTAAATCCACATAAATGGAAAAATACATTTATTGATACATTAATCACCCAGCTCTAGCTGGTGGTTTCAAAAAGACCATGCAAAATATTTGACAACCTCAGCATAGCAACTGCACAAATATTCTCAAAGCCAGCAAAATGTCTATAAACTGATTCCACACAGTTATATTTAAAGCATTAATTTCAGTATTTCAATTCATTTTGAACTGTTTTTCACAATTTACTTGAAAATATTTTATGATTATGTGTTTTTTATATCTACTTATGGCTTCATCGTTTTACTTTAAAAGATTAAAGTATTAAAGTTGGTATTAATCACCAAAACATGACCTGTGGTCAGGGAAGACAAGTGCAACAGCAAACGAGGCTTAAAATGGATGGCAGCCAGACATTCCCCTCAGTGTTTTTAAAGACTTTTCGACTCCTATCCAGGAGTATTTATTCTATTCTGTCACCTCGCACCAGAGCAATCTGCATTTACTGTAAGCAACCAATTGAAGCCTGTTTTGTGGTTGCCATGACCCACATGACGGAAAATGTGCACAGAGCAGTTCAATATGTTTCTGCCAGAAGTATGAATAACTCTGGGATATACCATATACATTATATTTATAATGCATGAATATAAGAGCTTACTACAAAGCTAAATTAGTTAATATTTCTTAATTCTATGTATATATACATGTTTGGCATTTTGACCTTCACAAGTCTCCATTTAAATGCCTCAACAATCATAGGTCTAGATAAAAAATCAGCAAAATCAGGAGAGTGACAATATTTCATGATTATAGATTGGATTTCTATGCCATATAAAGCCTTCTGTTTCCATAGTTCTGAGTTACAAAGGAATACTTAAGTCAAATGATAAAATTTGAAGTTGTGAATAAAAAATGCATTACACCTCTAGTCTGGTGGGTGATGGTAAAAAGGAAACCTAATGTATCACTAGCTGTTTCCTCTCTTGCCCCGGCATCATTACGTCCTAGGAACCACGACAGTGTGAAACACTGGGCTCTTAACCTATGCAAATAGACAGTAAAACTCTTAGGCCATTTGATTATTATTGATTTTATTTCTTGAGGACCTCTAACAGTTGCCCCGCCATCATACGTGAAACATTAGTGGATCATTCATTTCCGAATATAGGCTCCGGCTGTCTTGTAAGGCATTTGGGTTAAATAAGATTATCCCTTTATAAAGCTTATACTCAATCTCAGCCAAACCAATTAGCTCAGTGACAAATGAAACACTGACATAAAGAAAAAATATGACTTTCACCTTCACCCACAGCAGGACCTTTCATTTACAGGAGTGTGGACCTTAACGTTGAATATGCTCAGTAATAATTAGATACACCCAGAACTTTACAAAATTCCAGGTTATGTGTAAAGTCTCGACAATGGGGCCTTATGCTTCTTAAGGGCTTCAGTCTGAACTATGCCTACAAGGTCCGAAGGTTTTCTCTGAAACCTATTCCGTGAGGAAATGCATTATTCCTCCACCAAAGATGCCATGGGACCATAGTATGGTGCATGTCCAGCTGCTTAATAACAGCCAAATTATTCAAAGTAGAAGCAGCAGCAGGGTTGGAGGAATATTTCAGGATCTATATTTAGACCCCAGAGTGAAGCTCCTCAACCTAACAGCCTCGGCTTGTGTGCGATGCACAGGGGATGCATGCAAATGTACCAGGGTGGAGATCAGTCTGGTGTTGCTGCATAGCACCGTGCAAGAAGATGCTTTCTCTCCTGCATCATCGAGCAGAGACATTAAATTATCAAAACGAGATCAGTCATGGAGACCATTACTGCAGAACAGATCAAACCGAATCCCGACGTGCTCACTCCACAGATCTGACTTAATCTACAAAGTCAAGCACAACCCTTTACAAGCTTTCTATTTTTAGCAGCTGCTGCCATCACTACACCAGCTGGGTACAGAAATATCTACTTTTCATTCATTTGCTGAGCAATAACCTGGTTTCTAGGCTCACTTTCATCCTGCAAATCTTAAAACATTATTACTTTCCAGGACCTTGTCGCAGCAAATTGCATTGATTAGCTCTAAATCAGCTGGCTTTAATTAAGTTTACTTTGTATCGCTTCACAAGGCGTACAGCTCTGCATGATTGCAACTAAATTGCAATTATCCATTTCCCTGAGCACCAAAGAGGAGGATATATTGGTGGCTCAAGGTAAATCAATGGGTTCGTGGGTGTTCTGGGGGAGCCTAATCATCTAAAGGAGTGATAAAGTTACACAGAACTTCAGCTGGAAATATAACTGACTAACACAAATTGATTTGAGTCTGTGCGGTGACTGATATGCAACAGACAGCCTATCCATAGATCAGGTTTTAAAACATGAACTATTACATTTTGCTTAGGTTTAATCAGGCCTTTAGCAGTTTTACTCCATAAGTTTAACATTGGCCTCCTTCCTCCATTTTGATGTTTTGGGGTCAATGTCCTGTAAAAACTGGTACCATGTAAATAATCTGAATTAAAGCTGAAGAATTTGCAAAAGATGCTTTTAAAATCATTGGTGTTTTATCAATGCAATGCAACCAACAACCCCTCAGCATGAACTAGAAAACATATAAAGCTGGGAAAAAGCAGATTCTTTTTTACCAAATACTTGTTTCTCCTTGGGTTACACCCATTGCTGACCTTCTAGAATAGCGAGAGAGAATAATTGGGTGTGGCTGACATGCTGTGGCTATACTTAAATAATTAAAACACCTCCTGGATTAAAGAGTTTCTAATGTATCAAAATACACAGAGGGAAAGAAACAGTGTGATTAACTGCGGAGCAGCATGTGAGGCTCTCGGACAGATGGCGACTTAATGGTGTAAATTTGGCAGGGGGTCACCAACAAGCTGCAGGATGTTTGCTTTTGACTCTTCTGTTTTCTCATACTCTGTCGCCGCTTGTAAATAGAATCAGACATGAATTAAAAACCTGAGTTATAAGATGAATCACACTGTACAAGTGGTCAGAAAAGTCAGAAATAGTTTGTGTTGCTGAGGTTGCAGTGACCTCCAAAAAAGTCTCTTTGTTCTTTATCGAATATCAAACAGACAACTCTCTGAATACAACAAAAAAGTGCATAGAAAGTAATGTACTTTTTAGTGATATGGTGAAAATCTTGTATGTCCTTCTCTATAACTATTGGAAAAGTCTTAGTTGGCATTACAACCAAAACTTTTTAAGAAGTCCTTACCATCATCCTAACATTTAGCTCCCTTCACAGACTGTATATCACATTCATACCTGGTTTCCAAATCGAAGCCTCCCCGAATTTGTAATTTTGATTCCAGTCAGAATTAAATTCAAACATTACATTAAACAGTGGTAAAAAATAAAATTGTGGATTAATTTCCTAATAGCATTTATGAATTAACTTTGTTGTGGTAATTACGTGGCACACTAATGGCAAATGCCGTTCATAATGTGGTATGCTGCAGGATTCAAACACAGATGGGAGGAAGGCAGAAAGCTGTAAACGGAATCTAATCATAAAACACAATTGCTCAGTATTCTGGTATAAAATGTTTTTATTCTGGCATCCATAACACCATTCTGTTATGCTCATTGGTTTATTTTGTAAATCTCTGTTCAATTTAAATTGTTTTCAGGTACCACCATTGCAGCTATCCACATGTTAATAATCTTGATTAAAAATTAATACAAACATCAATTAGCTGAATTCAAAATACAACTTATCAGCACAGAGTAACTTACCGGGAAGTAGAGAAGGATGGCTCCACAGAGAATTGCCTCCAGCAGGACGAGACCTGACGCTCTGATGCTCTGCCAAAACAAAAAGATGATGCAGGTTTTTGAAAGTAAGTACAATAAAAATACTTAAGCAACAGCATTTATTTGGCTGTACCCGTGGAACTACAGTGAAAAGGAAAAATCTGTTGGGACACTTCTCTCCGATGGAGTTTGATATTAATTTTAATTTAAACAGATCAGGAAAAACATATATACCACGTTTTACTTTGAGAATGCAGCAACAAAACATTATTAGATTGATAAAAACTAGATGTTTGGTTTGGTAACAATCTGTAGTATTGTGGAATCAGATAAGTCATGTAGAGCAGTGCTATTATAATATATACAAATTACATTGCATCTGGACAGTGTTCACTACACTGTGCTTTTTTTAATGGAGTGAATTCTTTCAGGATTCACTGTAAATCCAAAAATCATCTCCATTTCTATAAATGATGGGCTTTGTTATTCAGTGTTATCACATTGTTGCTAGTCACTGTGGTTTTTGAACCCACTGGGTCGTCTGTGACACGTTTTAAAGCATTTACATCTAATAATTCAGAATGCATGAAAATTACACTGGTAAAATTTTACAAATATAGACATGTTACACATGGTTGGAAAGCTTAGATTCTCCACAATTCAACCACCAAGTTAATTTTATGGGCACACAAGCATCGAGGCACAATTAACACAGATATAGCAGCATGTCAAAATGTAAACATGACAAAGCAGCCACAACAAGCAAGCATGTCTTTACTACTGCTGTTTAAAAAGGACCAGTTATTTTCACGATTAAAAAAACATATTTACATATATATTCAGAAACTAGAAAGTCTTAGCTTTCAAATAATGTATCACACATGTAATTTGGGCTTACAGTTCCTAAATTATTTGCTTTTCCATTTGGGTATGCAAAATGGGCGACAATTTCCCAAAATGAGGTGGATGTTTGTACTCCATAGATGTGATTTCACACTGATGAATAACATTGACATAAAAATGGCTAAAAGTCAACCAAAAGCTACTGTAGCAGTGAAGCACTAATAAAAAAAAAAAAGATTCCTCTCAGCTCATTTTGAAAATATCTGAACCCATGGTTTATATAAAAAGATTAACCACCTTTAGAACCACAAGACATCAGGTAAAGTTTGTCAAATTAGACTGAAAAGTCATTATAAAAAATGTTTGTGTTCTATTCAACTTCTTAGAAATCTCTAAAAGATAAAGTTCTCTGAAATATGGACAAACTGCCAATTCAGACTAGAAAATTGATTCCAAATCCAAGTATACAATTAATCTTCAATAAGAAATGTGTTTTGCATTAAACAAAAACTGCAAGCAAGATTTAAAAAAACAATTTCTTCTAACATATGCTGGAATGTTCATTTGCAAAAGTAAGATAAAAGATAGGAAAAATTGACTTTATGCCTTTTTGATTTTTTTCATGAATAAAAACAAAGTTTAGAAAGATCTCTTCTTTTATTTCATTTATTTTTTTTGTCATTGCCGGGGTCACCATTTCTTACTTTTTGCAACACTGCATCCTCTAATTGACAGGACGCCTTAGGGGTTTTCCAGGAAGTAACAAACGGCCATGCAACTAAATTGAAAATATATACTAAAGAAATTGAAACAGATTAGGGATGTTTGTATGATGTTAAATCAAAATAAAAAATACAAAGATCTTAATTTCATAGTCTGTAAGGAGGTTTAACATTACATTGTAAAATGTCCATCCGTATTTAATTGTAATAGTATTGCACATACCAAAGGAAATTGTACATGTGATTTAGTGCCTCTTATTTAGAATCTTTGAAGGTGAGGTTCAAAGTTTTTAGTTTAATACTAAACTTAAATTAAAACAGACTACAAAAGAAAACAACACTTTTTATAGTAGAAGGCATCATTGTGGGAAGAAGGCTTACTCAATGTACCGGTAGGTCTTTTTTATTTTTTATTTTGCTAGAACACGTGGTGTGTTTTTCTCTTAGAAGAGAATAGAAATCTCCTTTATTGTCCAACTTTGAATTTAGGTGTGTTAGAAACAAAGTAAATAGGCAAAGGAAGCATACGGGTACACACAAGACTATAAAATATAAAAGGAACAAAAAGTTAAGAATAGACAGTACAGCAAAGGAATATTAAAGAGAAATGTACTTGGCTGTGCCCAGAGTATAACGCCTACCTTATTCCTGCGAAAGTGGTACACGAGGACCATGCTGATGAAGACAATCAGCATGCAGAGACACTGAAAGGACAGCACAGCCAAGCGAAGAGCACCGTCCTCTAATGCCACACAGGGAGAGTTGTCTTTACAGAAGGTACAGCCCTGCTGGCAAGGCAAGCAGTCACTAGGGGATCCTTCATCTTCACCAGGACCACCATCTTCAGCTTTTCCTTTTCTCCTAGGCTCTAACAAAGGAGAAGGAAAGATAACATTTGCACAAACAATAAGAAGTAAATCCAAAAAGTAACAACACCATTTTTTTTCACGTATTTATGAAGTGTCCATTTACTAGAATAGTCACAGTTGCCTTAGGAAATGTATATAAAGTAGGAAACTTGTAAAACTTTTAGGTGAAAATGTTTGCTCTTTGAATCATACTAAAGCTTGTGAGTGTCTTGGGCCAATTTCCAGTGGTGAAAAATGAGGAGCGGAGTATGTGCTTTGACAGGTTGACAGTTTATAGTAAGGTCTACACAGAGACAGTAGAGACTAATAAATCATGCATGTAGACTCCTCCACTGCAAGATAAACCTTTGGATGAACCTAAAATTCATGTTCTAGACTGAATGAACAGAGCAAACCAATGCATGTACATCAAGTACATAGAATCGCCACGCAAGGATCCGACCTAATACCTTAATGTCATAAAGCATCAGAGCTGACCACATCTTAATGCAGACATAGAAAACAAATTTTTACCTCTCAGTCTTATACTTTCAGTACTCAAATGAGGTTTGATGAAAAAATATGGAAGACACTCTACTAAGGTTATGTTACTGATAGCATCAGCTGTGGCAATTTGTCTTCATACAGCTTCATCACCGGAAAACTATTTACCAAAAAGGGTGATATTCAATAAATTAGAATATGCATTCTAAAGAGGTTAATTGGTTAAGGTCACCATTTAAAGATAATAGCCTTGGTAGGCCAAGATTAACTGAGCACAAACAAAAAGACTACAATATGCCAAGCAGGAACATTTCAATATTATCTCAATGAGATGCATGTTTAACTTCCACCCAGTAGTTAATCCCAGCGGTAGGTTCAACGCAGTGAAATGGCTTCAGCAGGAGAGTGAAGGATGACTGCCTTGTTGGCTGACAGATGCCTGAACAAGCTGGCATTGAGAAACACCCACATTTTGAAAGCTGAATTGGAGTGTTTAAATCCAAGTAGATATTTGAGTTTAACACCTGCAGTCTCAAGAAAAAGAATCCTAAATGATTATTTTTGGGGTCACACAAAGGTTAGTGCCTACCATTGTAATTTCCATTGCAAACAAATAAAAATGCTATAGATACCCCCCATTGCTGCCCAAGTTTGATTAATCCACTATACCCACACTGAATCATTGGAAATTGTGGGCCAAGAAAGAAACTCTAAATTAACTTGGTGTATTTGAAGGAGTCTTAGGAGAAGTTGTGTATTTGAATGGCATTTGGGGAAGTGTTGTGACATATTTGGACTATAAATATGGCCTTCAAACGGTCCAGCCTCTAAATTAGGACACATCAAGTGCACACTCATGTTTTACATAGCCTATTGTGCTTCATTACTATCACTAGCATGGACAGAAATACGTGGCTTATAGCTGTGCTCCTTTTATTTTAAGTTTACAATATGTTTTGTATCTAACGTGCCCTTCTTCTTCATTTTCCATTAGCTTTTTACTGACTGTTGTGTTACTCTCAGAGTTACATGGGACAAAGTGTGTTCCTTTTCCACTAAATACGGGACTTCTCTTTCTAAATACCGAACGATTCCGTTTTTCAAGGGACGTTTAGGAGTTCTGTAACCAATGGGAGAAAAATAGTGACCATCCTTCCAAATGGTAAATGACACTATAAAGTCATTATAAAGTCTACTATATAGTCACCACTATAGATAGTGATTGAGGGAATAGGGGTCAGGGGTAAGGCGTACGTTCAGACACAGCCTCCCCCATTTTTTGCTACCTGTCCAAAATTTGATTTGTATCACCTTAGCAAAAAGTGCTTATTCCTTTAAAAAATATTTTAAAGTTATGTACAGTATTGCCAGAGTTTAACTGCTTGTATTTCTTTTGGATTTTTTCCCAGGGAATACAAACTGGGGCAACAGCTGTTTTTAATTTCCCCTTGTTATTTATTGACTCTCCTGCTGTAGACTAGCAAAGCATCACTGAATAAATACGATTATCCTTCTTCGACCTTAGAAGGAGTCATTGACAATATGTCAACACAGGAGAAGCTGATCCATATGCGTGAACATGAGCAGTTAACATGCAGTTGCACAATATGATAAGCTCCTTTATGAGGTTTCCACAGTGAGATTTGGGGACAAAGGGTTAATTTTTTGGAGACTATATGGGGGCTTGATATGGATACATTGAAAATGATCAAATTGCCGTTATTTAGAACAGAAAAGAAATATCCTGCTGCTGCTAAAGTAATATGCAGTGGAAATAGTATGTTAGATTTCTTTTGTTTTGGCCCTCTAGTGTTATATCCTTTCAACGATTATATAGCTGCAAAATTAGGTTTAGTTGAGCCTCAGGCCCAGTCTACACAGATGTGAGATTAGAGGTATCTGCATATTTATTTTGTTGTTAAGGTAGTGTGTCCGCAGTGATCCAGCATTGTGGGAGACCATAGACAATCATTTTTAAAACCAGATCCTGAAGTGGAGCACTTTTAAAATGGCTCTTTACCACTATCTTGCTTTGTATCCTGCATGGGTCCAAATACTGTTCAATATGTAAAATGCTACATTTTTCACACGCGCCACATTGGCTTCAAAAAGACTAGAGTTGTGTTCCTAAAGGTATTGAGGATCGATGAGACATTCTAAGTCAAAGTTTAGAGAAGGTAATTTGGTTCTTGTTCTGAGCGTATACAAAACGAAATGTACACTCTGTGTATACAAAAAGGCCAATAAAAGCTGTCCAAGTCTAAAGTCTAAGACCTTGGAGTCTCCCATAAATGTTTTTTTCTGCCTGGTGTCTTTGCCATGGTTTAATCATAAACTCTGACCCAAAGTGAAGCAGGTGAGGCCGTCGATAATATAGATGTTTTTTTCGGTTTTCCATTGACCTTCAGTCTATATCACTGAAAGCACTCTTGCAGTTATTTTGACAGTATGGCTGCACCTGGAAAGCTCAATACTAAAAAGGTGCTTTAAATGTTTTAAGTAGGGTGACCATATTTTCATTTGGGAAAACCAGGACACCAGTTTTTTTTTTTATTTTGGGGGGGGGGTTGGTTGATTGAAAGAACAAATGTCTCATCATCGGGATTTGCTCCGTGATCAGAGGAAATGTTACTTGGCGCAGAACAGTGGTGAAAATTGGAAGTTCACTTTAATATAATACAACTCTGTGAATAGTTCCGTCTGAGATTAATGAAAATAGTTTTAATGGTTACTGAGTCAGAAATGTGGCGGTAATGTTTGATTTATCTAAAGGTTTTTATCTGTTACTGTGTAAATGGGTTTGGCTGTAATTTAAGGACAGATTCTAATAGATCTGCAGAGTGGGAACTATAAATCTGATAGGATTTTTATCTTTTTATTGCTGTTTTGCACAATATGCTTAACTAAGTATTTTTTGTTGTTGAATATTAGAGATTTTGCAGATATATTTTTATACATACATTGTTTAGATTTACTTATGTATTTCTAACCCTTTTATAGTATAGAAAATCCCTTTATTGTCCCACAATGGGCAAATTTACAGCAGCAGAAAGATTATTGAAAATAGTCACACAAATGAGGACCTTAGAAAAATGTATAAGAAGTTAAGAGTTAAAATATAAACAATAAAATACTGTAAAGTGTTTTAACAATATAAAACTGGAGAATTAATAACCAATATGCAGATATGGACATTTTTACAGTAATGGATATTTACATTTGATTTTATTTGTTCCTGCTGCCGGTGGTTGGAACATTTATTCCACTCTGGATTCTTGTGAGTGTAGTCTTTGTTTGCTTTAACTTTTTAAAAAATAAATAAATAAACAAACAGTTTTGAAAACCTCGGTATTCATTCTTTTCCTGCTTTGTGTGTCACCTTTCACGGTTGCTAAGCAACAGAGCATACGCTGGTAAAACCCGCCGAAGGGAGGACCGGTTCGAATTTACAGCCAAAACTCTTCCGGCCTCCTTATTTTCAAAGACTTCGAAGGATTCAGTCCAGGTAGACCGCGTCCTTGGAGGATGCGTCCTAGGTTTTCGAACAGAGCCTCTGATTAAGAGCAGGGCTGCCCGCACTGACGCGGCTCAGGGATTACGTCACACGGAGCGTCGTGCGCAGTGAAATCAGGACATTTCCTCACTTTCTAAAAAAAACCCGGGACGCCCGGGACAGGACGTGAAATACGGATATGTCCCGGGAAATACGGACGTTTGGTCACCCTACTTTAAGTCAGATTGGTTCCGGGTATTTGGTTCTCGTCTTTTCTTGAATCGCTCTAAAGTGTTGTAATGTTTTTCTTTTAGAGATTATGTTAACAGTTTCTTGATTAAAGATGTGTGATCAGGCCTTGGTGTGGCCATCAAAAGTAAGCCAGATTTGTAAATGATTTAACAATGAAACTCTTTATAAAGCAATAATTTGTAAGAGATAAAACATTTCTTCACCCCACTGTTCACATTTGCAGCCATCCTGTAATTGTCTGCTCCTCTTAGCTTATCTACTGTTGTTTTAATGTGACTTCATAAGACTAATGTGTGGATTTCTTTGTTATCTTTTTGGCTGATACACTATGGAGACAGTGTATTTGCAACTTTGGTATGCCTTGACGAAAGCAACAAGCCTTGTAAAAATATGTTTCTCTAGATAACCCTAAAGGCCAAATTTATGCTTTTGACGCATAGCCTCTGCAGCCATCAAATCTATCTCTATGTGTCAGACCTCATGCGGAACTGTGCAGACAAATAGCAGCTGTGATTGGTCCTTGGTATGCCTTTCCCGCTATCTGTGTGGTCATCGTTCTTGATTCGGTGCCGGGACGTGCCATTTATAAAAACCGATGAACAATTACAATGAACAACTACGACGAAAAGATTCATTAAGGAGGTTTGGAAGTACAACCACTTGTACGATGCCTCAGACAAATTACATGGTGTGTGCCAAAACAAAGTTCTCGTGACCATCTGCCAAAGTTCCTTAGAGTTTTCGAATAGGGTCCCCCTTGCGCTTTGGTGGGAAACTGCTGTGTGTCCCTAGAAATTCCAGACCCCCGGTTCAGAAGCATACCAGCAAAACTGGTTTGCGACCAGACCCAAGCGACATTTGATGTGTACGGTTGCAGAAGTATAATCTGCCCTTTAGTCAAAACTACTTTACCTGGTTAAATAAATGGCCCCAAGTTTTTGTATTTATCAGTTCCAGATAGGTAGAACTTAGACAGAATGCAACTGGAAGCTGGAATGCCTGATTATAACTGCTAACACTATAGGAAATAGAAGAAATTGTTTAAAAATAAACTGAAGTAAAAAAAAGAGAACAGTTTGGTTTGTATAAAAATCCCTTGAGATGCCCATATGGTTGGATAGATAACAGATTTTAGACTTATGGAGCTTTGATGGGGGCTTTGTTTGAAGAATCTATTGTCTTAAAGATTTGGAGGGATTTTGCCTTTAAAAAGAACTGTCCTATTTTTTTTCAAAGCCCATCACTGATCGCTTCAAAGGGACTACTTATCTCCATAGCAATGACTCACCCATTGCATCATTGATTTGATGCTACTATGCTTGAGTAATGGTCATAGGAAGCTTGAATACAATAACTTTATATACACTGAATTGAGTAGGAATGACTTGCACTTCAAATTAGTGTCAAGGATGTTCCTTTGTGGATTAAAAGGCTTCATGTTCCCTCTATGTTGGGCCATAGTGCACATTATAGCTCTCCAAAAGGTTCTCCTTTCCTCTATTGTAGCAACGCTCAAGCAGAATTCAACACATCCATAACAACACGCAACAGACATCAAAATTACATGTTTTTGCCTTTTCTCAGGTATGAAATAAGACATCTTAAGGTAATTATGAGTTCATAAACTCTTTGCAAAAAGTTGGTGAAAAATATGGCAATAAAGGTGCCTGGAGGGAATTTAAGTGAGATGAAGCAGAACAGAAGTATGACTAAAATTCAAGCATGGCAGTGAAATTGAAAGAGGGCAGGTGGAAATCACCAGGGGTCTGTGTTTGCAAAAAGCCTCCTTTTTAATTAACTCACCACAGACAGAATAAACTGAAGATAGAAACTATCATTAAAAAGACATTTCCCATCTCAAACTGGATTAGGCTTCCAAGGTGGTGAGGCTGCATCCATTTTCAGACAAGACAGATAAACACCCATCATAAACTCCAATGAAAGGGAAAATGTGCTTCGTGTTTAATGTTTAACTATATTTTTGCAACAAAAAGACAAGGGTACGGTATATCATAAACAGATCCAATTTGCACAAAAGGAAGTGAAGATCTGTACAAATCAGGTAAACCCCAACTAAACAGGAGCTCAATCTTCAAAATCTTCTGAGTCTGTAAAATGTGAGAAGCTAAAAACGGCTCAAAATAATTTTTAAAGAGATTTATTTTCCCATCAGAATTTACTGTTTAACAAAAGCTCTACTAAAGAGTTTTTTTTAACATCAGTACATTTCTGTAAAGGTTTTGAACATGCATTTGCTGCTGATCTTTTTCAGATATCAGTTTTAAGTTGTAAGTTAATAATATCTTATACCTCATTAAAATGCATTACGAATACAATAAAAAACCCTTTAGCTTTAATATCCCTGGTCTAGTAAGTTGGAGATTCAAAAACATTTTTGTGTCCAATCCTTAAAAACACCATAAGGGCCGTTTAAAGTAGATGATCTGTTCTGGGCAGACTAGTTAGAAAAAGGTTTTAATACTGATATTTGCTCTAGAAGGGTTTTCTTAAACTTTCTGTTGGATCGTGTAAATTAAGTCGTGTGATAAGCATACAGCTGTTGTTCAGCTAGTTGAAAAACTGTGTCACCAGTAAGCTATTTGTTACCATTTCACACTCTTTCTCTCTACTTTTGTCTTTTTCCTCTCTACCAATCCCAATGTTTACTTTGTCTTCTCCTCATATGTTTTACTCTGTGCATGGGCTTACCAGAGGTGTCAAAAGTATTAATGATTTTTACTCAAGTAGAGGTATAAATCCTGCTGTTTAAAAACACTTGTGTAGAAGTTAGAGTATCAACTAAAGCTTATTACCCAAGGAAATATGTAAAAGTTCCTTTTCTAAAACAACTTCAAGAATAAAAGTAAAAGTAATGCAGGAGTAAAAGGACAGATGCTTTAAACCTTATACTGCACTACCCTATTAAAGGAAGATTTTCATCTGGGAAAAACTATTTATTTTTGTACATGGCGAATAAGTTGGTTCAGCAACGATTTCAACCACATAGACATTAATTGTCTGGAAAAAACAAATTATTTTAATGAGTTTTTTTCTTTTTTAAATACCAATATGCCATGAAGAAAATCAGCTGAAATGAAATAAAACTAAGAAGTCTGTTTTAAAATGTTAGGGGAAGAAAGTGTAAAAAATTGCCCAAAAAAAAAAGTAAGGAGAAGAAGTAAAAAGTTGTTTAAAAAATAATTACTTCAGTAAAGTATAGATAGCCAAAATTTCTACATAAGTTAACAAAGTAATTGTACTTTGTTACTTGACAACTCTGTGGTTTACAACAGGTAGTTGCTGCTAGTTTTGTTACCTTGGGGTCTGGGAACATATATTTATATCCACTTTATGGAGTCTTTAAGCAAGGCTTAATTAACTGTTTAAATTGCTGCTATCCAGATGAATCATTTTTGATGATTTTCTTATATTTTGTGTTTCTTCTTCTGGTAGATAAGTGTAATCTTGTTTTATTATAGAATAGAATAATTGCTTGTTGCATGGAATTATTTGTTTAGTAAACTTTGGGCTTTGTAACTGTGATTGTGCTATTGCTGTGATTGTGCTATTGCTGCACACTCTTTAGAGTTAATAGCTTGAGTATATGCAAATGTTTCTCAGTCATCTGAGGCAAAACGTGATGTGCAGCATTGAGCACTTGGATCTATTCCACCATCCACACAACCTCTCATCTGAATTAGGAATTATTAGAACCACTTTACTCATCCTGTTTCTGAATTCCTGTCTGGTTCATGAGATTTTTAGAGATCGATGAGTTTTGCTATGCTAAGGATGGCTTTCTGTCAAACTGCAGTGCCAGAAAACCAGTGGCCATTACTATGGCGACTAGAATGTCCTCTAGGGCAGGCCTCCCCAACCTCGGTCCTCGAGGCCCACTGTCCTGCAGGTTTTAGAGGTTTCCCTTCTTTAGCACAGTTGATTATGATGATTGCAGTTAAGGAAAAGCCTGTTAATCAGCTTTCAATTAAAATCAGCTGTGCTGGAGCATGGAAACATTTGAAACCTGCAGGACAGCGGCCCTCAAGGACCGACTTTGGGGATGCCTGTTTTAGAGGTTTCCTTGCTCCAGCACAGCTGATTTTAATTGAAAGCTGATTGACAGGCTTTTGGTCTACTGCAATCGTTATAATCAGCTGTGCTAAAGCAGTAACACCTCTAAAACCTGCAGGACAGCGGGTCTCGAGGACCAAGGCTGGGGATGCCTGCTCTAGGGAAAGAAAATTCAGGAGGTTATTCTAGCAGATGCTCCACATCTCACCTGAGTGGCTTTCCTTGACTTTGCCTTAGCTGATCCACATTGCCTCTAATTAGTTTATTTTGTCTTTCTCCCTTCACTGGTTCAGTATATAAGCCTTCCTGTTCTCATTGTTTCTCCTCTGGATCCTTATGGTACACTTGCTGGACTTCTCTCTAAGCGTTATGTCCTTTCCCTCAAGAATCTTGTAGCATAGCTTATCATTAAAAGTGCTCATTTAATGCTTGTAACACTGCTTCAATTGTCCCTTCTGCATTCTGGTCCTGCATGCAACTCTCAAAACATGACGGTCTTTGTTTAAATGTTATGAAACATTGTTTCACACATATGACAAATAACCACTTAGCAAGGAGACTAGAAAATGTATACTTTTATACAGAATCTTGTGATGATATACATTTTTACGAGAAAGGGGAGTATGGCAAAATTGGCCTCTAAACTAAATCAACACTAAATTATCTTAACCGAAAAATTACCAAAGTAATGTAGAGGTAACATTTGAGTAGTGGCACATACTTTGTACTACCAAAGATGTTGTAGCTGTTCTAGGTTATCACTAATCTCTCTAAAAATGCAATGTAATATATCAAATCCATCTGGTTGCCTCCATTAAAATAGAAAAAAAATCTTTATGTGCAAAATATTTATTTTATTGATAGTTATATTTATCACAACTTACTTGTGAAACCATTGACTGCCACTCTGTTGGGGTGGTAGAATCCTCTCTTACACTGACACTGGTACTTGTCCAGGACGAACCCATGACCACGGAGGGGCAGACACTGTGAAGAGAAGAGCACATGCACTCAGTCTCTATGTTTATAACATGTCAGCTCTATCCAAGGCTTTATGCGTTATTTTTTGGTGAATACTCGGAGACCAAAGATCCTGCAGTAAGGGCAGGAATCCAAATTTTTAAAATGTACTTTTCCTCGTTCTTTCCAACTTAGTTTTTCTAAAGTTTGAGTGATAGACAGTGTAAAGCTGACCAACAGAGGGCGACGTCCCACTTACCCAATAACCTTGATTAAGAAATAAATAAAAAAAAATTATTAAGTTATAAAATTATAGTATTTAGAAATATATTTGTCTATTTTTTAGACGTGCAAGCTCAACATTTAATCTTTAATGATGAGTTACCCATAGACTAAAAGTTGTACATGCGCAGTAGCTCCTCTGCAATGCAACAGATAGGACCATCCTGGGGCGCAGCTCTCCTGTGCCCAGAGCTGAAAGCATATCTATTTGCACACCACCTCGCACCACAGCTGACATAACATTTATCTTTCATAAAGTGTGGGTAACTAACAGGTTTATATAATTATTTAGCTACAAGGCTTGGCTAACTGCATGCAGCAAGGCTAATGCTTTATACTGTTTTCCTAGCTCTTCTTTCAAATGTCAGGATCTGACACAGCATGACAGGTATGAATGTGTTGAAGCAGTTTTGTTGTTGCATTAATGTATATATACGGGTTTGATACCTTCATTTACATTTCATTGGGTTTTGGTATATTTTGAAGTTATAGCCCCCCCTGGAGAAAATTCCACCAGCCGCCACTGGTCATAGATATACCTTTATCTTCACAAACACAAAGAGAGTGAATGCTGTGGAAAATTACTGTTAGAGGGTAGAGTTTAAAGATAAGATTTTTGTACCAACAATTGTAAATTGCAGGGAGTTACTCACATTTAGTTCCATCCCTCAGCCCTCATTTTCAAAAGATTTTCATTAAAAAGCAATAAAAATAGTATAATCCTTCAAAATGGATGAATCAAATAGCTCTAGTACTGTACTTGGAAAAAACACCATCTCTGGTGTCTAAATGCAGCATCACTTTGGACCAAGCTCTGCATGTCTGAAGCTGCAGCTATTTCTAATAGTTGATCAAGCTCCCCAGTGGTTTCTCAGTGTTTAGGTCTCTCTGAGTGGTCGGCTGAGACAGAAAGACAGAATTATTACTAGGTCAGTATTAAGTGAATAAACTCCACTGAAGATGGTAAAGTTGGCTCCTAAATGTTAAAGGTGATTTTGTGTTATGTGAACGCAATACAGTTATGAGGTAGTATATAAAGATCTTAAGTTAGCCATAATTACCGGTACCTCTACCGAGGAGATTATGCTACGTTCACACCGCAGCCTGAAGTGACCCAATTCCGATTTTTTTGCCCATATGTGACCTGTATCTGATCTTTTTATGACAGTCTGAACGACACAGATCGGATTTTTTCAAATGCGACCCAGGCCACTTGGATATGTGGTCCTGAATCCGATACGTATCTGATCTTTTCAAATGCGACCTGTGTCTGTACGGCCAGGTCGCATTCATCCGACCTACACGTCATTGATACTTGACAAATATTACTAAACGTTACTAATCTGCGTCCTACTAAGCGGAGGCGGGAAAAACTAACAACCATGGCGGAAGATAACACAGAGAGCAGTCAATGGAGAGAAAGTGAGGTTGCTGACTTAATTCATATTTAGAAAGCTCGATTCAGACCAAACTCGAAGGGTCTTACCGGAACCGGGGGAGGGTCTTTCTTTTTGATCTTCTTAAAAAGATTTCGTTCGTAATGTGCCTGCTCCTGTTGGAGAAGAACTTAAAGAACGCAATATACGCTGCGGTATTACGAGTCATGTTTACTTCCGCAAACACTGAGGACGCTTGCTACGTGTGACGTCATCGCGTCCTCGAGTGCGCATGCGGGACACTTCGGTTGGACGCATTCAGTTCACACAGTAGATCACATACAAGTCGCATATACTTGGAAGTGTGAACGGACACGCAAAAAAATCCGATTTCACAAAAAAATCGGAATTGAGCATTAAGGCCTGCAGTGTGAACGTAGCCATGTGTTTGTTGGTTTGTTAGCAGGATTTCTTGAAAGGTTATGAACAGATTTCAATGAAAATATTACCAGAAGTGCACCTCAAGCCAAGAGACAATTATGTTAGTGATGATCCAGATCATAATCTAGATACAGGATTTTTTTTTTAAGAATTCTTTAACATTGTGAGATAGGGATATTTTCTTGGAACAAGCATCTCCCCCTAAACCAGAGGATGACAGCACTATTGATAGCTTCAGCAAAGGATAGAAAGTCTGGAAGCGTTGTACTGAAGAAAGAAATACAAAAAGACACAAGAAAAGAGATTCATGCCTTGCTTGAAGTCTCAATCTGCTGATCAAAGAACAAAATAGAGTTCTTGTTTGTAAGCAGGACTTCTTGAAAAGTACTTATCAGATTGATGTTTATGATGTTTTATGATTTTGCTTCATGCCAAGAAAGAATTCATTAGAATTTAGTAATGATCCAGATCATGTTCAGGTTTTAGCTATGTCTCAATATGGGGCAAAATGTGCAGATTGGCAGAGGCTTTTCTGGTTAGATTATTCTGTTCAGTATCTGGCCATATTAAAAAAAAAAATTATCATTTACTTCAGTAAATCTAAACAATTAACCCGAATAACCTAAATAAATCTTAAATATAGAAATATACTGAGTCTGATTGCAACAGACAGCAGAAGACCAGCCAAATTTTCTATATTTGGGCTTCTTGGTAAGCAAGAAAATGTCTTGCTTGAGAAACAGAGGAAAGTTTATTTTTTTATTTTTTATCATCAATAAAGTGATTCAACAAGATTTATTAGTTCAAACAAAAAATAGTGCTCTCCCAAGCCATGTTGTTTTCAGTACCAGAAGAAAAAAAAAACTCTTAATATGTTTCAGTGATCCAGAGAACTGCTGATCAAGATCCCTTGAGTATAGGGTTATTCAGCCCCATAAAAGCTGTTTAGTACGAAACTTTCCAATTTCACATCATATTTATAACAAAATATAACAAAAGACTTATTGATCATTTATTAGGTTGCAATCAATGAATAATGACTGAACAATAACTTTTCACCATTGACACCAAGCTTCGATAATGATAACTAATAGCCAATATCAGCCTAAAATATTGTTTCAGTCAATTAACAAGTGGAAATATATTTGTTGAATAGAAGCTGTGAGAGCTGATTTTTTGTTTCTTGTTTTTTCTCAATTTCATGAGATACTGCAACATCTTTATTATCAGCATGAGAGGTGGTCTATCAGTTCCAAGGGTAATGGATGGATGGATGGATGGATGGATGGATGGATGGATGGATGGATGGATGGATGGATGGATGGATGGATGGATGGATGGATGGATGGATGGATGGATGGATGGATGGAGTTTAAAAAAAAGGGTTTTCAGTACTTTTTAGTTTAAATTGAAGTGGGAAATTCATACTTTTTGGAACCCAGTTGATAGAAATAAAATGTTCGTACTGTTTACTCTCAAAATCTTTATTTCTTTATTTTGATCAAGATCAAAATCTTGATCAAAATAAAGAAATAAAGATTTTGATCTTTAAACTCCAGAGGATATGCTGGGTTTCATTTCCCCACAATTTAAGGCAGAATTAAGTGCAGCTTCAACATTTCTACAGAAAAATTCTTTTTTTTTTTGGTTTTCTAATAGAAGCTGGGGGAAACAGTGACACTAAGGTTCTATATGTTTAATTAAACCAAGCGGAGGTGGATTGAAGGAGCGCTTTAATGAAGTGCTTAGTCACTGCTAAGGAAAGGGTTTGATTTTTTGGTGGTTGCACATCCTGTGGGTATCACAGTTAGAAGATGTGCCAATAGATGATGCACCAGCTCAGAGTGTTTCATCCTTATTTTGTCTGTGGAGCTGCAGATACCTTCATTAAAATCCTCCTGGTGTAGCTCCGGTGTAACATCAGTCAGGAACCTGATTTTATCTTTGATTGCCCTGAAGCCGTCTCCTTGGGACAGCTGGTGCATGCTACAGCAACTGCCTGACATTGTTAGTGTACCCAGCTCATGAAGACATGAGAGGAAATGACCAGAGACAGGTGTATTTGTGTGTGTTTGTGTGACTTTGCATATTTGTAGTATGTGTGACAGGAGAGCCAGGAATAGCTCTGGCAGTACATCGCAGTCCTGCCTGCCACAGAGACAGATGAAGGGTTGGGATGTGGAGTTTGCTCAATGGGAAAGAAGCCCACCTTCTAGCCACCTGCCATCAGTCACATGTGATCTCAACCATGAACCAGAGATATTTTGACAGGATCTATGTTTTTCCTCTGTCATTAATAAAAACACCTACTGCATATTTATGTTTTGACAATTCTATTTGTTTCAGGTGAGAATAAACAGGCTATAAAGCATAACTCATTCTCCTTTATGTTTGCAGATGCTTAGGGGATCATTAAATTGTATGTTTGCTTCAAGATGGCAATGACATTTCTGTCAATTGATATGCTTCAATCAACAGAAAAATTGCATCACACTTCACTATTTTATAAAACAGTGAAGCTCATGATTGACTAACAGCCAGTTGCTTAGATCACAGGGGCTGCAAAACAAAGCCCAAATAAGACCGCTACATCTCTGTGCTTTATAGCTATTAAAGGTATTGTGAAGGATTTTTTAAAAGACTCTCCAATTTGAAAAAAAAGCCAATTTTTCCTCGTGCACACTCTGTTTAAAATGTGCTGTTCTTATAGCTCATACAAGCTTACTGTGTCCACATACAGCGGGGACTATATAGTGGATTTTAGGTATAGCAAACTCAGTTAACTGACCATTTGGACAGATGATCACTGCTTTTTGCTCCATTGGTCCCATGACTCCTCCTCCACCACACAGTGCATGTGCCATCTTTGTTATTAGTCGCCCTATGGCGACAGCGGGCCGCAATGACAGCAAATCCCATAATGCTTTG